GTTGTCCTACGTAGTTGTACTCCCTTAGTCGGCTCTTAAGACACCCACAGTATGAATAGGGTTGCGACACTTTGTATTCTCAATCCGTCACCACACGGATAGTATGTATAATTATAATTATACCTATGTAATCATTATTTTCTGCCCCCATATCAAAAGTTTATAACATTGCAAAGGATTTGCCGGCAAAATTCACTTATGAGGCCAGCCGCTTTCCCAGCGTATGTGTTGTCGTCAGCCAGTTGGACTGGGGACTGTAATATACCCAGTTTTACTCTCACAACTAAGACATAGCCCATCTTCTGGCGCAGTCAGGTAAAAATAATGAGTTCGATCACATGTGTGGAGATCGAATCCATACATAACACTCAGCGCAGCAAGACGCGGTGAGGTAACCTCTTAAGCCACTACGCCATCCGTGCAGTCATACCGTAGTTACTCATACCGTCGAACGCTGAATATACATATGTATATGTGAAGCGGTATATCAGTATCTAATCTACTATAACTAAACAGTCTACCCTAAAAACACCATAGCAATAGCACATTCAAGGTTTTGGTTACCAACTGGTTATAGTCTCCACGTGATAGCATTTGATGATCTTGAGCTCCAAACCTATTTTGTCTCACCACTGTTACAATAGTGGGTGGAAAAGAAAACGCCTAAGACTCCGTTTCGTTTGGCAATTTCCAGGACAAACACATATGTCCTGCTTATGTTGATATTACTACACTCCATTCATCACGAGCACAACTTATCACTATTCTAAATGGTTAAGAATAGTTGGGAGCGAACTTACCTCAGACCTTAACCTACAGTTCGACATCAGTGTCCGTAGGGGCACTGTGTGTGAGACACAAATCTATATATATAAAAGAAAGTCGTGTTAGTTACACTATTTATAACTCAAGAACGGCTTTACCGATATGGCTGAAAATTGGTGGGGAGGTAGCTTAGAGCCAGGAGACGGACATAGGATACTATTTATTCCGCATTTCTTTTTTTTATGTATCGGCGTCGATCACCAGATGACAACGGTGGAACTGTCACAACAAAAGTGAAAAGAATGGATTTCGTTGTCGACAACAGTTGGATTGTTCCATATTCGCCACTTATTTCTAAAACGTTTAAGACACATTGCAACGTTGAGTATTGCAATTCAGTAAAGTCCATAAAATATATGTGCAAATATGTCACGAAAGGCAGCGATATGGCGGTTTTTGGATCGCAATCCTCAAATACCAACGATGAAATTTCACGCTATCAAGTTGGTCGTTATGTAAACTGTAATGAAGTGATTTGGCGTATATTCGCATTCCCTATTCACGAACGTCATCCTACTGTTGTGCATTTGGCGGTGCATCTGGAGAATGGTCAACGAGTATATTTCACTGCTTCGAATGCTATGCAACGTGCTGAAACACCTCCAGCAACTACATTGACCAGTTTCTTTGCGATCTGCCAAAGCGATCCGTTTGCACGAACTTTGCTTTACTCGGAGATGCCACGTTATTATACTTGGAATGCTTCATCGAAGAATTTACAAAGGTGGAAGCAAGGCGATGCGGTTCCTGGGTATTCGGATGTGCGATCTACTGATGCTCTTGGTCGTATGTATACAGTTCATCCAAAGAATGATGAATGTTTCTATTTGCGGTTGTTGCTGGTAAATGTGCGTGGGCCAACGTCATTTGAGACACTACGGACTGTTAATGGTGTAATATTCCCAACATATCGTGCTGCATGTGAAGAACTGAACTTATTAGAAAACGATACCCATTGGGATACGACAATCGCTAAAGCCATTATCTCTGCATCTCCAAGTCAGATACGCACATTATTCGCTATTATAATTTCGACATGCTTTCCATCAAACCCATGTCACCTGTGGCACAAATATAAGGATAATATGTCAGAAGATATTTTACATCAAATTCGTATCACTTCCAGAAATCACGATGTTGAGATGAATGAGGAGATACATAATCGTGCTTTACTCTTGATCGAAGATATGTGTTACCTCATGTGCGGTAGTTTATTAATCAGGTTAGGAATGCCAGCGCCCAATCGTGAAATGAATGACGCATTTAATCGAGAATTGGAACGGGAACGTGAATATGATCACCAGGAATTAGATTTAGTAGTTTAAAAGAATGTACCCCTGTTGAATTCCCAACAAAAGGAAGTTTATGATACTTTAATGAAGGCAATCGATGATGGAAATGGTGGTTTATATTTCCTAGATGCCCCTGGTGGAACAGGTAAGACATTCCTCATGTCAGTAGTTTTAGCAGCTGTTCGTGCGAGATCCAACATAGCGGTTGCATTTGCTTCTTCTGGAATAGCAGCCACATTGTTAGAAGGATGCCGTATGGCTCATTCAGCATTAAAATTACCGTTAAATCTTCAAACTATCGAAGAACCAACGTGTAATATTACGAAAAATTCAGCAAGCTGACAACAAACATGAGAGTTGCATTGCTTAATGATACATCTGCTGAAGATTTCTCTGAGCAATTGCTGACTATCGGTAATGGTCAAGTACCTGTCGATGAATCGAGTGGATTGATATCATTTCCAAATAATTTCTGTAATTTTGTCTCATCAAAAGATGAACTTATAAACAATGTATTTCCAGACATTATTTCTAACTACGAAAATAATGAATGGTTGAGTGACCGAGCAATTTTAGCGGCTAAGAATAAAGATGTAGACGACCTGAACTATATAATTCAAAATAAGATCATTGGAACAATGCATTCATTCAAATCTATTGACTGCGTCACAAATGAAGATGAAGCCACCAACTATCAAATTGAATTTTTAAACTCCTTGGATGTGCCTGGTTTACCACCGCACAATTTACGCCTAAAGGTTGGCTCCGTAGTAATCATGCTTCGAAACATAAACATACCAAAACTGTGCAACGGTACGCGTTTAGTGGTTAGAAAGTTTATGAACAATGTAATTTACGCGACGATACTGAAAGGAAAATTCAAAGGTGAGGAAGTTCTCATTCCGAGGATCCCGAAGATCCCAAACGATTTGCCGTTTGAATTTAAAAGACTTCAATTTCCGTGCATTTTCATGGCAAATTTGCATTTGCCATGACCATCAACAAATCACAAGGCCAATCCTTAAAAGTTTGTGGTTTGAATCTAGAACATCCATGTTTTTCCCATGGTCAAGTATATGTGGCATGTTCACGGGTCGGAAGACCATCTGCGTTGTTTGTTTTTGCGCCTGATAAGAAAACAAAAAATGTCGTGTATCACCTTAAGTACCTTACTTAAGTGAAGAGCAACCCGTGTACTGAAATACAGAAACAATAATAAATGATTAATGTACTTCATTTTTTTTCTAAGAAAAAAATGAACTTACTAAATTTGAAAATCGGCTTATTTATTGCCTTTAAGGCGGAACAGAGTTCGCCGGGTCAGCTAGTAGACAATAATTTAGTTCCTACCAGCGTCGTGCTCTAACTATTACGTAAGTACAGATATGACCAAACCTGTTCAGTTAGAAGCAGGATTTTTAAACTGTGTGCATGATAGTTTTGCTTGACTTAATTTGACGTGGGGCACAATAAAGATGACAGTGTGGTATCTTCGAAATGATGATGATGAATATGTTAATGGTAATAAGAAATACTGTGTTGTTACGGCCGATGTGTGGCAGCTAACATTGTCATGACGAAGGAAGGACTAGCTGACCCGGCGAACTCTGTTCCGCCTTAAAGGCAATAAATAAGCCGATTTTCAAATTTAGTAAGTTCATTTTTTTCTTAGAAAAAAAATGAAGTACATTAATCATTTATTATTGTTTCTGTATTTCAGTACACGGGTTGCTCTTCACTTAAGTAAGGTACTTAAGGTGATACACGACATTTTTTGTTTTCTTATCAGGCGCAAAAACAAACAACGCAGATGGTCTTCCGACCCGTGAACATGCCACATATACTTGACCATGGGAAAAACATGGATGTTCTAGATTCAAACCACAAACTTTTAAGGATTGGCCTTGTGATTTGTTGATGGTCATGGCAAATGCAAATTTGCCATGAAAATGCACGGAAATTGAAGTCTTTTAAATTCAAACGGCAAATCGTTTGGGATCTTCGGGATCCTCGGAATGAGAACTTCCTCACCTTTGAATTTTCCTTTCAGTATCGTCGCGTAAATTACATTGTTCATAAACTTTCTAACCACTAAACGCGTACCGTTGCACAGTTTTGGTATGTTTATGTTTCGAAGCATGATTACTACGGAGCCAACCTTTAGGCGTAAATTGTGCGGTGGTAAACCAGGCACATCCAAGGAGTTTAAAAATTCAATTTGATAGTTGGTGGCTTCATCTTCATTTGTGACGCAGTCAATAGATTTGAATGAATGCATTGTTCCAATGATCTTATTTTGAATTATATAGTTCAGGTCGTCTACATCTTTATTCTTAGCCGCTAAAATTGCTCGGTCACTCAACCATTCATTATTTTCGTAGTTAGAAATAATGTCTGGAAATACATTGTTTATAAGTTCATCTTTTGATGAGACAAAATTACAGAAATTATTTGGAAATGATATCAATCCACTCGATTCATCGACAGGTACTTGACCATTACCGATAGTCAGCAATTGCTCAGAGAAATCTTCAGCAGATGTATCATTAAGCAATGCAACTCTCATGTTTGTTGTCAGCTTGCTGAATTTTTCGTAATATTACACGTTGGTTCTTCGATAGTTTGAAGATTTAACGGTAATTTTAATGCTGAATGAGCCATACGGCATCCTTCTAACAATGTGGCTGCTATTCCAGAAGAAGCAAATGCAACCGCTATGTTGGATCTCGCACGAACAGCTGCTAAAACTACTGACATGAGGAATGTCTTACCTGTTCCACCAGGGGCATCTAGGAAATATAAACCACCATTTCCATCATCGATTGCCTTCATTAAAGTATCATAAACTTCCTTTTGTTGGGAATTCAACAGGGGTACATTCTTTTAAACTACTAAATCTAATTCCTGGTGATCATATTCACGTTCCCGTTCCAATTCTCGATTAAATGCGTCATTCATTTCACGATTGGGCGCTGGCATTCCTAACCTGATTAATAAACTACCGCACATGAGGTAACACATATCTTCGATCAAGAGTAAAGCACGATTATGTATCTCCTCATTCATCTCAACATCGTGATTTCTGGAAGTGATACGAATTTGATGTAAAATATCTTCTGACATATTATCCTTATATTTGTGCCACAGGTGACATGGGTTTGATGGAAAGCATGTCGAAATTATAATAGCGAATAATGTGCGTATCTGACTTGGAGATGCAGAGATAATGGCTTTAGCGATTGTCGTATCCCAATGGGTATCGTTTTCTAATAAGTTCAGTTCTTCACATGCAGCACGATATGTTGGGAATATTACACCATTAACAGTCCGTAGTGTCTCAAATGACGTTGGCCCACGCACATTTACCAGCAACAACCGCAAATAGAAACATTCATCATTCTTTGGATGAACTGTATACATACGACCAAGAGCATCAGTAGATCGCACATCCGAATACCCAGGAACCGCATCGCCTTGCTTCCACCTTTGTAAATTCTTCGATGAAGCATTCCAAGTATAATAACGTGGCATCTCCGAGTAAAGCAAAGTTCGTGCAAACGGATCGCTTTGGCAGATCGCAAAGAAACTGGTCAATGTAGTTGCTGGAGGTGTTTCAGCACGTTGCATAGCATTCGAAGCAGTGAAATATACTCGTTGACCATTCTCCAGATGCACCGCCAAATGCACAACAGTAGGATGACGTTCGTGAATAGGGAATGCGAATATACGCCAAATCACTTCATTACAGTTTACATAACGACCAACTTGATAGCGTGAAATTTCATCGTTGGTATTTGAGGATTGCGATCCAAAAACCGCCATATCGCTGCCTTTCGTGACATATTTGCACATATATTTTATGGACTTTACTGAATTGCAATACTCAACGTTGCAATGTGTCTTAAACGTTTTAGAAATAAGTGGCGAATATGGAACAATCCAACTGTTGTCGACAACGAAATCCATTCTTTTCACTTTTGTTGTGACAGTTCCACCGTTGTCATCTGGTGATCGACGCCGATACATAAAAAAAAGAAATGCGGAATAAATAGTATCCTATGTCCGTCTCCTGGCTCTAAGCTACCTCCCCACCAATTTTCAGCCATATCGGTAAAGCCGTTCTTGAGTTATAAATAGTGTAACTAACACGACTTTCTTTTATATATATAGATATAGAAGAAAAAAACTTAACCAATACAAATTTGACTATCTTCCACTCCTGCTCGTCACATATGATAAAAAATATGAGGAAAAAATTAAAAAATGCCTTTTCGCTTAAAAAGCAATGTGAAGAACGAGTAGTTGCAAGTTGTTTAATGAGTGCTTTAATACATAGCTCTAGCGCTAGTAATGCAATGATTCATCTTGAAAAGTTCGTCAGAATATTTGGAAATTTTTATGAAGACAATAATCTTAAGGAGCTGATTTCAAGTAGCGTCTTAGAAGAAAGCGAATCTGAAGAATCTAATGACAGTCTATGTACAAATGATGATGAATATGACAACTCAGATGAAATAGCTGGAAACTCAACTCTTCCCAGTATTATCAATTGTTCGTTCTCTAAAGCAAAAGACGAAATCCTTGAGAAATTTCCAACAAACATAGAACAAAATAAATTTTATAGTGAAGATCTTTTAAATTACCTAGTAGAGTATTTATTAATTTACTATCCCGTATGGTCAGCAGCTGGAATTGCGCGCTTTGGATTAGCGAGAGATAGCAACGCCACTGTTGAAAATGGGTTTAAGGTATTTAAAGAACAAGTATTGAATAAAGAAGAAAATATTTGTATCCCACGTATAATAAAAAAAACTGAAGAGACGATTCGGGGGAAACTACAAGAAAGTTTCCCCTTCAAACTTCTCGCCAAAAACAGAACAAACGAAAGGTGACAAGCTATCAGTTCTCTGATAACGAAGACACTGGTAATGATTTCAACACTAGTTTAGAAATACCAAGAAAAAAAGAAAAAGTAGAAATCGAGATATGGAAAAGGAAAAAAATATATAAAAACAGTCCAAATCGATACCTGACACAATCAAAATTTATAAACACAAATCACGCAAAAATTGATAATGTAGAAAAACATATCAATGATATGAGCAAAAGTATAAATCAAACTAAGATGAAAATAAAAGAACTGGAGAAAAAAGAGTCTAAAAAAAATTAACAGAAATAAAGTGTGATAATGACAAAAGAACTAGTGAACCAGTAGGATGTCATACGACAAAAAGCAACAGTAAAGCTAATACTATTTCTGTAGGTAATAATTAAAAAAACAAAACCAACTGCAGTAATTTTACATTTTCTCATTCAAAAGAACTCTTTGAATTTGATGAATATCCTAGTGATTTCCCTAATATTGAAAATAATGTAAATGGATTTTTTATTGATACTCTTAGTTTTGCATCTTTGGATCCATACGTGGATGAGAATCAGTACTTAGATGATGGGGTCATTAATGGTTTTTTTAGTCTCTTGCCGGATATTGCACAACACAGAGGCGTACCAATCCAATGTTTTGACACATTTTTTTTTGAAAATATTTTGACACGTTCTTATATTACTGAAGGTTTTATTAAGTGGGCCAAGTCACAAAATATTTTAAATAAAACAATTTGGCTGATTCCACTAAACCATTCATGCCACTGGACTTTGTTTACAGTGATTTCAAATCTTAAAGTGATGATTTATTTCGATTCTACACATTGTTAGCCGAAATCAAAGATGATCGATGGAATCTGTGCATTCATTGCAAGGTTAACTAAAAAACAAGTCCCGTGGAGTGAGTGGAAAATTTACTTTCCAAACGATATTCCAGATCAAAATAATCGAAAGGGTAATACTAGTGGCAATTGCGGTGTGCATGTATGCGCATGGGGTGCCAGCAAAAACAGACAACAGAACAAACGAAAAGTGACAAGCTATCAGTTCTCTGATAACGAAAAACTGGTAATGATTTCAACACTAGTTTAGAAATACCAAGAAAAAAAGAAAAAGTAGAAATCGAGATATGGAAAAGTAAAAAAATATATAAAAACAGTCCAAATCGATACCTGACACAATCAAAATTTATAAACACAAATCACGCAAAAATTGATAATGTAGAAAAACATATCAATGATATGAGCAAAAGTATAAATCAAACTAAGATGAAAATAAAAGAACTCAAAAAAAAAGAGTCTTTACAAAAAATTAACAGAAACAAAGTGTGATAATGACAAAAGAACTAGTGAACCAGTAGGATGTCATACGACAAAAAGCAACAGTAAAGCTAATACTATTTCTGTAGGTAATAATTAAAAAAACAAAACCAACTGCAGTAATTTTACATTTTTTCATTCAAAAGACCTCTTTGAATTTGATGAATATCCTAGTGATTTCCCTAATATTGAAAAGAATGTAAATGGATTTTTTATTGATACTCTTAGTTTTGCATCTTTGGATCCATACGTGGATGAGAATCAGTACTTAGATGATGGGGTCATTAATGGTTTTTTTAGTCTCTTGCCGGATATTGCACAACACAGAGGCGTACCAATCCAATGTTTTGACACATTTTTTTTTGAAAATATTTTGACACGTTCTTCTATTACTGAAGGTTTTATTAAGTGGGCCAAGTCACAAAATATTTTAAATAAAACAATTTGGCTGATTCCACTAAACCATTCATGCCACTGGACTTTGTTTACAGTGATTTTAAATCTTAAAGTGATGATTTATTTCGATTCTACACATTGTGAGCCGAAATCAAAGATGATCGATGGAATCTGTGCATTCATTGCAAGGTTAACTAAAAAACAAGTCCCGTGGAGTGAGTGGAAAATTTACTGTCCAAACGATATTCCAGATCAAAATAATCGAATGGGTAATACTAGTGGCAATTGCGGTGTGCATGTATGCGCATGGGGTGCCAGCGTAGGCTCATTCTCATCAACCCACTTTTGTGAAGATGATATGAATAAAATAAGAATTGGTATCGCGAATATTTTATTCTACTCAAACACGAGTCAAGACAAAGCTCAAAGATGGCGAAAGCGTTTGCTTAACGAAATAAATAAAACCGAAGACGTGCGGTGTACTGTAGATATCTCTTCAAAAATACAGAAATTTAATCGGCCTCCGTTTGATTTTAGCAGTACTTTTGAATTTTGTGAAGTCTTACCCATACTTCTACCCGATAAATTCAAAACTTTAAGGAAAACTGTTAATTTAAATACACACACGAATTTGCTAGAAAGTTAAATTATACTGTAACACCGACGTACATTAAGTTTTTGTTAAGAAGTAGTTGTAAGTCAAGTTAGTCATTAAACGTAAGCCTGAAATTTTGTAATGTAAAATTAAAAATGAAAACTTTATTAATTGTAATTAAACATAAGTCAGAAAATAAGTCTGTAATTTGTTGTATTATAAAAGTACATATATTGATTTTAATCTTAGTTTTATTTTAAAAGTTTAACTAAGTTACACTAAGAACTTCACAAACGCACAGATACTTTGTGTTTGCGTAACTTTTACTTTACAGCGTTTTCGCTCTGAGATGATAGTTGACGTGCGGTGTTCCAAAGGGGTCGGCGACGACAGTTACAACCGATTTATCATCGAAATTCAGTATTTTTGAGAGTTACGTACGTTTGCTTTTTCTTCGAATTGGTAATTTACCGTAAGTCGTGTCTGATTGTTCATGTAATAATAAAAATTGTAACTTTTCTGCCAACGTAAAAGTAATGTGGTATTATTGTATGATACTTAGGCATTAACTATACAAAATTAGAAAGCAATCCTATTTTTGTGAATCGAGTTACAGCAGGTTTTTGATCGAAATTCAGTATTTTTTGTTAGTTACGTACGTTTACTCATTAATTGTGTTAATTCTATTTTTTCTGCCAACGTACAACCTATTTAGTATTATTGTACGACTCTTAGGGATAAACTATACAAAATTAGGAAGCAATCCTATTGTTGTGAACAGAGTTACATCAGGTTTTTCGTCGAATCGGTCAATTTATCGTAAGTCATGTCTGATTGTTCATTTAATAATAAAAATTATAACTTTTCTGCCAACGTAAAAGTAATTTGATATTATTGTATGATACTTAGGCATTAACTATACAAAATTTGAAAGCAATCCTATTGTTGTGAACAGAGTTATATCAGATTTTTCGTCGCATCGTTCAATTTATCGTAAGTCGTGTCTGATTGTTCATTTAATAATAAAAATTATAACTTTTCTGCCAACGTAAATGTAATTTCGTATTATTGTATGATACTTAGGGATTAACTATACAAAATTAGAAAGCAATCTTATTTTTGTGAAAAAAGTTAGGACAAATTTAGCATCGAAAAACTCGAGTTTTTGGCTAATAAAAGCGTTTATTCATTTAATATGATTGTTTAAATATATTTTTTTTAATCTTTAAAGGCCCTGGTTCATTGTATAGTAATTTGATGCAGGAAAATTACTGTTTGCTCTCTTTGTTCATTAAAAAAAAAAACTCATATTGAGGGGCGTGCCATATACTACGCAGGCTATGTCCGTCGGCTAGCTCCGTCGGCGAGCTTCAGCTTCATGTAACTAACATTGTGACACGAGAATTTTGTATATAAGATTATTGATATTTCAAATGACCAGACCTCGTTTAAAATCGCACAAGAAGGCACTGTCGTTTGCATAGTAATGTACATCGTAAATGGTTAACTTGTCATTAATATGCTATAGAAACAATGATGGGGACAATACTGTATGACCGCGACCTTAAATGCATCTGCCGGTCAGAAAGCTGCCACTCCATTGTGGAAATTTTCAACACCGGGTTTCTCGTATGCTTCGGCAGTTGTCACATTCTAGTACTCTCCCGGTACGCCAATCCCGGGCACGTGCCAGGTACCGCAGACGACAGGCGCTGGAGGTCGCAGAACGACCTTCGTCCTCCATAAGCGCAGGCCTGGGGATGACAGGTGAGGAAATCTGTCACCCCAGCAGAAGCAGGCGGGGGTGGCGGCGAGATGCACTGCAAAGCGGGAGCACAAATTGAACATGGGGGTTCCCACACAGGAGGGGGTCATTTACCCGCCGTAGATGGCCCGAGGTACGTCGGGGCACCAAGGATTTCCTTTCTAGGGTATACCTGGTTCCCTGGCTACTGGTACCCGAGACGGCGTGCGGTTTTTAGTCGGTTCGAGTCCGACATAGCTCGGTGGTGGCGGCGGGTGGTATCCGAGGGGATTTCCGCACAGAAAAAAAATAAAATTTAAAGGTGTCACATTCTAAGATCTTATGCGCATTTTATTATTGTAAAGAATTTCTTATCTAGCCTTTCATTTATTCTTCGTTATTTAAAACCACACACGTTATTCGTTTGAAAGTGTTTTGGTAATCGAAGCGAAAAAACTATTTTTAAACAAAGAAACCATTTTTCCATTTATTCGTTACACATTCTGTATACCAGAATTTATTATACCAGCACCCAAGCACTCAACACTCTCTAAGAAATCAATGTTTTTTTAAGTTAAGTTTAATAAGTTTCTATCGCATGTGTATGTTATAACATGTAAATATAACTGACATAAACCTATAAGTACTTTACTTGCTACCCTTGTTCTGTGGCTGTTGGATACAAGCTAAAATGACCTACCTAACTACCTACATATGTGTGCATAATATATAGGTATTATGCTTTTGGAATAGTCGGTGCGCACGCGCCGCTCACGTGTTCAGCATGGTGTCGTGCGTATATTCTGGGCTAGGCAGTTCGTTGTTATTGCGTACCGTCTTTATTGCCACAACAAGGGTTGCCAACCTATTTTAAGGGTGAAGTTTTAAATAGGGTATATACTTTATTTGTATTTATATTTTGACGGCGTTTAGTAAGCCTTTTTCTACCTCTTC